GCCGACGCCAAAGGATTCCAAGTGAATGGCGTATAAGTTGAAGTTCAGGAACCCAGGAGAATGTTGGTGATTTGAGGTTTTCAGGGAACGAGATGGGAGAAAGCAATCATGGTGATGTTGACTACCTTACTATTTATATAAGATAAATAATGCTATGCCAATGGAAGTCCTGTACCAGGGAGATCCACAATAGACAATTGTGGAGTGGATATGTTGGTATAAGAAAGCACAGTGAAGGAATTATAGGTTGACATGCTAATCTCGAATCTCTAGCCATACAATGGCTTATTCAGCACCGTCGTCGTGGGGTTACATTAACAGATTGAAATGCTAATCTCTAGCAATACAATGGCCGAGGTATACCTAGCTCTGCGATCTTACATTTACTTGCAAATTCCATCTCTAGCCCCGCCCACTTACCCTTGGGTTGTACCCATCTCAAACCTTTATAACCTCTTGCTGCAGCTGCTTTGCCGCTATATTTCTCCAGCCTCAGTCGTTCACCTGAAGACGATTGCTTGTGTTGCGATCGAAACGTCGTGATTTTTGTATTATTTTTTATTTTCTACTATCTCCGTGACTTTACCGAAAGACCCAAAGAGTATGAATTCCTGCAGTCACGAAAGCTTTAAGTCAAGATTTATAGGAGAGTAAACCAATGTTCTGAAGCTACAGAACAACACCAAGCTGTAGGCACCGGCGACAGGGTACGAACACCGCACTAAGCTCCATCAGGGCAGGCGACATCCCTGTGTTCTCAGTGTCTCTGTGATATCAGTATCTCGTATCTCTGTCTTGCCTCTATCTTGGTGTTGTCTATGTTGTATGTGACCCTGTTGCGTCTATATCTTTGAGGTATCTATGGTTCTATGTTGTCAATGTTTCTGGATTATCTGTCTCTATATCTTGTTGTTGTTATTTTATCCACTACTGGATGACCCCCCCCACTCCCCAAGGCCCACTATGTCAACACCATCCCTCATGGTCCTGTGATGCCACAATGCATCACGCTCTGGGACATGAGCTGATGTCATCACTGCAGTGGTCATCCGCTCGGGCATATACCTTCCTTTAGCTGACATTTTGTCACCAGTCTCATACATCTGCTATCATCCCTTCTCATGGTGCCTTTTGCCCAGTCCCCGCTTACTTTTTTAAATCGTCAACATGGCGTTTTTTTATATTTTGTTTGTGTGACTGACCCATGTGTTCATATTTCTGTCTCTCAATGGAATTTCCAGCGTGGATTTCTTAACTATTCTTTTTGTACAGGTGGGCTTTGCTCCACGTTCTGTCACATTTCTGACCTTTGTCATGACAGTTATAATGTTTGCTGAGCAACTACTTTATTCTTTAAAAGCACATTCGTGTGTTGCTTTAGATTATAAAATTATATTTCCGGCAAGCAATCTATCCTGCTCTCAATTCACCTCTTTACATCAAAATTCTGATCATCGTCTACCTTCTGCAATTGATATTATCGACACTTGTCCCTCAAACGATGATTTCCTTTTGTTCAGCCAACATGTGGTACTTGACTTTGGTTTCACTCATACTCAGCTTTGGCCCCGCTAAGTGGCCATCTTGTTAAGTTCTCCTGATTATTCCCTGGAGTCCACCCACATTTCCAGGCAGTTGAGATATACAATTTGACAACCTGCGCTAGACCTTGCAGGACATCTGAATGGCGCCTGCCTGAGTTTTCAGACAGGGTCGGCATGACATTTTCAGGAAATTGCAATGCATTGTTCTGCCTTAAATTTGAATATGGGTTAGACTGCGGCTAGCACATACGTATGTTGTAGTGTTTCTATGTATAGGTTTTAGGCCAGTGCGCTGTGGCAATGTCTGAGGTGTACCATGGTACTTTCCGAATTATAGCAAAGAACCTGACCATTTGCAGGCTGGGCCACACTCTCCATGCCGTTCAGTGGCCAATCCAACCCCCACCACCGGCCCTCTCCGTTCACTCGGTCACTCACGAGCAGTTGGCCAAACAGCTGCGACAAAGCATCCCCCCCCTCCACCCTCCTGACTACGCGGGTCCACAGTGATGTTTTGGTTCGGTGTGCCACGAAGATGGAGCAAGCTCAAAAGTATACCGCAGCATGAAAAATGTTGAAGCACTGGCTTAGACTATGCCCATTAGTGGCGTAGTACCTACATTTTATCAGCTCAGGCGGTACAGCGATCGTTTAGGTGGGGCCCCAATATTTGATTTGCCTCGCACAGTCGCACCAAGGATACAAAAAATTAACCCGTAAAAACAAAGTTTTTCACTATAAATCCTTTATATGCGTGGCGGCTAGAGTCCTCTCGTCCTCTGGCTTGAGATGGCTGCCACCTATGGGTCAGATGATTGCCTGCCACCATTAAGCAATTGGTAATTAAATATAAAAAAAAATTTCCTAAAAAGTGTAAAGTTATGGAAAAAAAAATTCACGAAAATAAATTGTCACGCACAACGAGTCTGTGTGCAAAATGTCAGCTTGATTGGATCACGGGAAGTGGGTTAAAAAGAGACCCAAAGATTTGCACGGTCGTAAGCGCGCAAGCAAGCAAGCAAGTGAACTTAATATAAAGGATTTAAAAATCCCGGCTCCTCTTGCCTCATCACAACATTACGCTCACGGTCTCAAACATTTAACGCTGCATGGGGCGCTCCGTTTTCGAAAAATGCAACCACTACAGCTCCGTAGCACCTCTTTGCAATAAAATTGACGTATATCTAATGAAATAAATATCCCAGAAACAGAGTTCTATGTCCAATATTATTTTACTCAAGTTACTATCATTTAAGGAAATTACGTTTTATTACGTTTCATTACAGTAATTTTTTATCTAAAAAAAAATAGCTACGTAAAATTTACACTAACATACACTATGATGGCAACAAAATAGAAACAAACATGCGATACGCAATTTGCTGAAGCCAAATGTTACCGCTGTAATTTGATTAAATAAAACGTGGAGCGTAGATTAAGCATTTTCAGCAAAAATACATTTAAACCATGTTTAAATAAGTTTTTGTTTTTTTACACTGTTGTTGAAAACACATCTCATGGCAGTTATCCAGGAGGCCCCAACTCAGAACTTTGGCCACCCCCTGCCCCCACGCTAGTTACGCTACTTATGCCCATACATTAGTACCAGTGTTGAGATGTATGTATGGGCCAGGCTTTGGCCATATGTTTAGTTTCCTTTAAAAAAAACTATTATTTTATGACAATGCTACTAATACATCAATACCCTCCAGAGGTGCTTTTTAGAACTCCCTCTATTGGAAACCCGTCTACCAGCAGAGGAGTGAGCAATATATATTGCAGAGATTCACCCTTGCCATTGTTTTTGTTTGCGAACAAATGGAAACGCTGCTATTGCATCCATCAAAATTCACACCACTACCGTTATTGTTGGTCACCTTACAACAGGCGGCCAAACAATATCACACGTGCACGTAAATCGCTCCTGGTATGCATGGCACAGCGATTGGTTATTGTACATTTCATTCAGCACTGCCATAGAGAGTCTCCCACGGCTACACCCTTATCTTTTGACGCACGCAAACGGCATTGTGGTCCGCGGTGTGTTAAAAGACATCATGATCTAAACTTATTTTTTTTATTTTAGCAGAAAGGGTCCCACTGAGCTATATAGCTCTTCTCTTTTTTTTCAAAAGCGACCTGGCCACAAATGATAGCTCAACGAAGTGGCTCGTCGTGTGGAATTGTATAGCAGCCAAATGTTCTACAACGCATGTTGCTAAATGTGGAGGGGAAAAGCGGAGGAGTCGGAGAAAAATCCACATGTTTCCACGGGGAGATGGAACATGCAAACTCCAAATAGACATACGTCAGGGTCTGGACTAAACCCACAAACCTCCTGTATACCAGGCGAGGCAGTCAACATTCTGACCACGGTGGCATCACCACATTCGAATTGTACCTCCCCCGCTCCTCCCAGTTCCCCCCTGCCCCCACTGTGATGTTGAGGGAGTTAATATGAGGAAGATTGTATGCCCGTATAGAAGATGAAAAAATGTGTGATCGATGTCGTTTGCGCCAAAGCGGTTTCTATGCAATCTTTATTTCAAGTGGGCACGTGCCCGATTGATTAGCAATTACAACACGTTACAGAGAACAATTGAGCTGTGGTTTTGAATACTGCGCCAGCGATTTAAGAAAAAAAAACAAGGTGCCATTGATACTAATTGCACATTTCACCCGCATCCAAACCTTCATCGGTCATAATCACGCGACGAAATTCAAATTATTTCGGCGGCGATACTGATGAAAATCAATTTAATACGCTATATAATTCCTGATCAAAGTCCAGCCTTAAGCCAAGGGTCACCTTAGTTTGGTTGTGGCGAAGACAACAACGGTGCGCAAGTTTTCCAGACACCCACACGCATAATTCTGAACGGTGTTGCGTTGTACGATATTGTGCGCACAAGTAATCTCAAACTTGCCAAAAACAAAAAAAAACTAAACCTCGCGAACAATTCAGGGCATTACAGTCGCAAATATGCTCGAGACAGAAGCGAATGCGAATTTATACGTACTTTGTACAATAGCCATCACGTAGCTTGATTTTTCTTTAAACTGCGGTTACCAATCAAAGACAAGTCCACAATTATCTTAATACAAAAGCGTTTTAGCTTCACGATCACTCTAATCAAGACTTCATCTCGCTGTCAGCTGTAACACAAATTCGCTGATGACTGGGAGCAGAATCACGACAGTGATAGAGGGCACAGCAAATACATCGCAGTAAGTTAACACGAAATCCGGTTGGAGCAGAGGCAGATGTGTTTATTAAGCAATTTATCTCTCACCCACCTTTCCACAGATGTTTAGCTTCGAATTTGTAGAGGGGAAAGGTGGACTCATTATCAATCACCATCATCCTCGGAGAAGCCCGGCTGATGGCTTTCATCACGAAAAATTGAACGCACAATCGTTGAATATTAATTCAATTCACCCACGTTCGGAACTCACCTATGGAAATAGCCACCAGACACAGCACAGGGATGACTGCGCATCCCAGGCGCAGACGAATGTAGGAAGATGTAGGGCAGGATGTGTTCGTGGGTGCTGGAGAGCAGATGGGGCCAAGAAGAGCTCTTGTGCAAATGATGTTCTCCACCAGCCCCAGCCCCAACTCCCACAACAACCAATAGCTCCAACAGTAGCTGAGCTCCTTCCCAGAGGTGAGTTTGAAGACAGCGTTGCCCGAAGGTGGTGCTGTAGGAGGCGAGGCAGTCACGTCGTAGCGCACAAAGTTTCAGTGGTTGTGAGAGTGAGTGAGGCTTTGGGACGGAGGGAGGTCGAGATGGGAGGGAGGGAGAATGGCAGGGGAGGGAAAGAGAGAAGGAGTTGGGGGGGGGGAGGCACGCTGGGGACAAAAGGGTGGAGGGAGGTGGGCGAACGGTTGTAGATGCAGAGAGGGGGAGGGAGGAGGGATGGGATGGAGAGGGGGTGAACAAATTGGAGTTCCCATCCCGAACCCACGCGCGCTCTGCTGCGTCATCGAATGCACGCAGCTCGTTGGCATGCTGTGACAATCGGGCGTCTGCTGAGTCTGGCTACGCCGGCTGCGAAAGGTTTTACTGTGAATTTTGTGAAAGTTGACCGACCCCACTAAAAAAATACATCGGCTCGTCTCTCCACATAGCTGTGAAGTGTTGTTTTTTTTTTAAAACAGACTCAACAGATTCGTCAATAGCACTGCCTTGAGAGAGACAATATAAAAAAGCGACGTTTCGGGCAATGGCCCTTCTCTCTGCTATGAAGAAGGGCAATTGTTTCCTCTTTACGTCAGTGTTGTTGACGAATGTGTAGATTATGTTTATTGTGTTTGCACACCACCATCGCTAGTATTACGACAATAAGAGTATTATAACAAAAGTAGTCATCAGCCTCCGTTGTTTTTGAGACCAAACAATTCATTTACAGTCCTTGCCAATCCACGACTGAATAAAGCTAAACCGCCTCACGCTCTTTTCTGGTAAATGGGGTCGTTTGACCATACTTCACCACGCTGGCCAGTAGGAGTTGATGATGGGGGTGACCCAGGATCACGTTTCAGAGATCACTCACCCACTGATGTTAGCCTGGACCGAGAATCGAACTCAGGTCCATGGGGTTTATAGCGTAGCGCGCCACCCCGACAGCCTCGGCTGTTATACAGCATCGTGTGTTTAAACAAACTTATTACCTGTTTCGTCCGTTAGCTTGTCATCACCCTGTTCAAACAATTCTTGCTGGATCGCCACAATTCTTTGCAGCGTAATTATATATATTATCAGTCTTATTCAACGCACGAATAAATCATTTACAAATACAAATTTCATCATGCGTTGTTTTGCATCGTACTCCCCAAAATATAGAGACCGCTAATATTCATTGTCGCAGACTGTTCGCTAAATTTATGTTGGCGAGCACCTATTCGCTCACACCTATACAGTACTGTGCATCATTGGAACCTCATTTGCCAGTAGGAAAATATGATAATTGTTTTTTTACCCTTTTATTTGCCAACAAAACTGACATCTTTTTTTTAGTTGTGCGCCTTTTGGCGTCATCTGGTCCAACACCATGTGAGACTAGGCTCTAAGAAAAGCTGTCTCGGGTGTGGACCAATCAATTTCAAGCACAGTGGATACATTATCAGAGTTGTGTTTTTTGTTTGCATTCCGACCGCAGGTATTGTGGTCAATGCAAACATGACTCCTTGTAAAAAAAGGTGTCAGTTTTGTTGCCAGATAAAACGATAAAAACCCAATTATCAGTACTGTACATATCACTCGCAAACTACAAAATATGATGAGATTGCATTGGTAACGATAAAGGCGCAACCCTGCAATTGCTCATGTGACTGCTGCTGGAATGGTCTCCACCAGAGGTAGCTGCAGAGGGACAACCTCTACAGTCAGTGTATTAGGTCTACTCTTCCACGCTGATCCTAACATTCAACGAATAAAACATTACCATTATAATAAAATAAATACAAATAGTGAATATTTCAATAAATATGCAGACTATAGATGACACATTACTGGACTGCGTCGCACGGTATGCCTTGTTTTTGTACCGTTAATATACATGGTATTTATAATCAGATGCGAGGCATTTGAGACCTCTTTTTTTTTACAAAGGAGACCTAAGATATGCATTAATATCCTTTGGATACATATAGGATATATGGCATTTCAGGACGATACGGTACAAAAACAATTGGCATGTTTAATAGAGGCAGCCATGGATTTTTAAAAAGACATTGAGCGTGGACTTAAACAGAGGGCAGGTGAGTTGACAGCACAGATGGCTGAGGAAATTTAGTTTCAGTTTATGGAAATGAATGTACTGCATAGTCAAGAGTATCAACAAATAAAGGGTCAAGTAAACGTTTAAATGATAAATATTTTTTCTAATATAAACTGTAAATAGATATATGAGTGGAGTGGTTCGTGTACTGTTCTTGCTATGAATGCGGAGACCTGATTTTGATTCCCAGCCACGGCTAACGTCAGTGGCGAATAATATCTGAAACCGTTCTGACCCCAACCCTCCCCAACCTGCGCTGGCCAGCCTGGTGAAGTATGTAAAAATCTATGACTCGCACAGTGCGGAATAGGCCTTCATCCAGCAGTTGACAAAGGGCTGTATGAGCACTGTTTTTTTTATTAAATAAACTGTCCCATCTATAAACAGTCGAAGAGTAGGCCAAAAATACCCTCGCAATGTGCTCTCTAGAGCTCCCTCTAGTAGAGGTCCTTCTGCCAGCAGTGGTGAGGGCTCGCAATTTTCAAGGCTGCACATGTACCCTTAATAAAAAAAAAAGTTAATTAGAACTGAAGCAGACTTACACATCCAAGTGAAATTCCTGCACGTTTACACTCGTTTAAAACAATGCAACTGAACTGCATATATATGCTTGTATTTATTATATTAATGACATCGTGGAGCTGGTAGGCATAGTTTGGAATCCACTCCAGTACGGTGACATGGCCCAGCGGTAGGGCGTTCGCTGCTTCTCGCAGTTCCAATCCGGCAGGACAACCCGCGTTAATTCTGCGGGTACATTAACCGTGCATATGTACTGTCTATTTCAGAGTAGATGTTAATGCCCCCCCCCCTGCCGTTAATCGAAACGAGTCGTCCACTGTGTGCCGGCGTCATGGTTTAAATTTTGCCGAATTCAAAAATGACCACCCAAATTGGTTTTCAATTTGGGATTGCACACCGCCCTCTACTGGCAGACCGAAGTGCAGGCCGATACAGAGTCATTTTGTGCGACACAGGAACAGCTGCCACTGAGGGGTGCCTCGAATTGTTTGAGATGAGATGTGATACAAACCACGTTGTGTTGCTGAGGAATTTAAGCAAGAGCCGTATAAATGCAAAGATGATTATTATTGCTATCCCGAGATTCCATATATGAATGATCTGGTCATGGTTAAAAAGCCACTCCTGTACACATGCATCGACACTACACCGACTGGCCTATAAAATGAACATATTTTACGCATTACGTAACAAATTATCTGCTTTTACATGAACAAATCCATACAAATTCGGGGTAGTTCTGACTCCTCAACGGAATGAGGGTGGAAAGCCGTCTCTGACGTCGAAATGCCATCCGCATTTGGTATAAACAGCGTGCAGATGCTCAATAATGAATCTAAATTCGGATAGTAAAATACGTAGGTTACACACACAAAAAACTACCACTTCTTCTTCCTAGCGTTGTTCCCGCTGTGGCGCAGGGTCCGCTTTTCGGCATTGTCTTCTCCATTTGGCTCGGTCCAGGGCATCTTCAGGGGATGCGTTGACCGTCTTCATGTCTTCCTTTATTCGGTCCATCCATCGCTTCTTCGGACGTCCGCGTGGACGGCGGCCCTCTGGCTCAATACGCACGGCAGTCTTGGCCACTGATGACTCTTCACTTCGCATCACATGGCCGTACCACCGAAGCCTTGCCTCAAGCATCTTGTCCGCAATGGGGGCCACACCAAGTCGCTTCCGAACGTCTTCGTTCCTGACACGATCCCATCGAGTGAGCCCGAGGCTCCATCTGAGCATCCTCATCTCCATGGTGTGGAGAGCTTGTTCGTGTACAGTTGTGGCTGGCCAGCACTCGGATCCATAGAGTGCCACCGGTCGGACGATGGTCTTGTATATTTTTCCCTTCAGCCTATCCGGCATTTTCCGATCACAGAGGACTCCGGTGACGTGCCTCCATTTCATCCACGCCGCATTGACTCGTGACCTCACATCAGTCGTGATGCTACCATCTGAGCTGATGGTGGAGCCCAGGTACTTAAAGTCCGTCACTTTCTTCAGATCTTCTCCGTCAATACTGATGGTGCCGTCGGTTTGGGGGCCACACTCCATATACTCCGTCTTTTTGATGTTGAACCTCATCCCGTTTTCGTCCAAACGTTCCTTCCACAGGCGCGTTTGTCTTTCCACTTCTCCTCTCTCTTCATCTGAGAGGAGGACGTCATCCGCATAGAGAATTGACCATGGAAGGGGCGTGTGCAGGTCGGCAGTGATCGTGTCCATGCACAGGATAAACAGGAGTGGTGACAGGGCCGATCCTTGGTGCACTCCAACGCTGATGGCAAATGGCGGTGATATGCCCACTGCACACCTGACTGCACTGGTGACGTTCTTGTATAGGAGTTGCACCCAATGCACGTAGGTTTCAGGGACTCCATGGGATCGAAGCGAGTGCCAGATGAGGTCGTGGGGGACCCTGTCAAATGCCTTTTCAAGGTCGAGGAACGACACGTGCACAGCTTTGTTCTTCTCTCTGTGCCTCTCCAGCAGGAGCCTCGCCGCGAATATGGCGTCCGTAGTGCCACATCCTTTGACGAAGCCGCATTGGTTGGGTGATAGGGTGATGATGTTTCTAATCCTCGTGTCCAAAACTCGCTCAAAGATCTTCATCGCATGACACAGGAGCCTGATTGGCCTGTAATTCGAGCATTCTGCCACGTCCCCTTTACCCTTCCAAATTGGAACCGTCGTGCTGGTCGACCAGGCTTCTGGGACCTCACTGGTGCTCGTGATGGTGCTGAAGAGCTGGGTAAGGAGGGCAGCACCCTGCCTGCCAAGGATCTTCCAGGCCTCAGCAGGGATATCGTCTGGGCCAGTCGCTTTCCCATTCTTCATTCTCTTGATAGCTTGTTCCACTTCAGTGATGGTGATAGGTGAAACCGGACCGAGGACGTGTTCAGCGCTAATAATAGGTGGGTGGGGAAATTCCTGGTTGCAGATTCCAGAGAAGTAGTCGCTCCAGCGTTGAAGGATGGCG